TTTGTGCTTTTCATTCCAATTGCAACTTTGCAACTGTTCAAACGTTTTCTGCAACATCCCACCCAAAACGCCTGGCTCGCAGTGTGATATTTGTTTTCCGTAATGGATTATATTCAGTTCTCCAGCTTAGTTTACGTCCGTTGTTCTACTCTATATGGCTCACGGTACTGCAACACACTGGCTTAAGTGTTATATAACTGTGATTTAATCAATCCATTTACTGTTTTCATCACTGCGTTCTATCTCAACCACCTGACCTACGTGTTCTACGCGTCGGAATCTCAGTTTTTGGCGAATTCTGCCCTTCGTCCATAGACAACTAATAAACGTTCATTTTAAACGGATTTGTGGAAGAACAAGAATACAATCGATTTGTGTCCATTTCATTTCGTGGTATCCATGTTTCAATTGAAGTGCAGTTCTCTTCACTTTTTAACACTCCAAAGTCATACTGTCCTTGCTCTATTTGTTCCACGCGTCGGCAACCCAGAAGTGTCACCTTCCTTATGAAGACATATGTATATATGTGTATACCGCTCTCCACACGCAAAGTGTTGCGCAATCTGCAACAAACAATTGATGTTCGTGAGGGACAAGGGCACGATAACTTTGGATTGCATCATATTCAATTATTTCGCTAATACAAACTTTGGATTGCATCATATTCAATCATTTCGCCAATAACAATTAACACCTTTTAATCTAACCATGTCCTTTCCATTTCGACTTTATTTATCGCGATTTCTTTGATCTACGTGGTCTACTTGCTCTACACGCCGCTACCTCAGAGTGCCTTCTTTGGAAAGACCTGTCCATGAAGATGCAGGTGCGTATACACCTAATCCCAAGCATGAATTTCATTTTCGAATGAGTTCAACGTTGCTTATATTGACGTGATCTGCTTGCTTCATTAGGCAGTCTTTCAGAATTTGCCTTCCATGTGAAGGCCTTTGTGTGTGTGTACACTGCTATTCACATGCAGAAAACTACAACTGGACATTTGATGACTATGCACGTTATGTTTTCCGAATTCATGCGCCAAAGACTATGCACGTTATGGTTTCCGAATTCATGCGCCAAAGACTACTTAACAGCAGGGGGCTGCAGGGAATGTCATAGTTCTGCAGCCAACGAAGACGGCTATGACATTCTGTGATATCGATCCGGGACGCTGGATCGACGTACCTGCCTAATCATGTCTTTCCTTTTCCGCGATGGGATGTGGCTAACCCAAGAACCACCTTGCTGATTAATGATTTGGACCTGGTTTCACCTGTTTATCAAAGATGATGGACTCAGGAATTCTACCAGGCGTGTACAACCACATCGTCATTGCAGTTCACTTCCAAAAAATCAACAGTGTGTGTGTACACCGTTATAACAAACGGTTTTAGTTCTTTTCTTTGCTCTTGTACTATTCTAAAAAGCAGGGGGCAGAGGTACCCATGTCACTTCCTCTGCCAACGAAGCTGGGTGACATGTGGTAAGGATATAGATCAGGGACGCCTGATCTACGTACCTGCTATAGTTTCAACTGTTGACTTTCTGTTCTTGTTTATGAGCTGTGCGTTGTTTCTTCGATCGTGAATCTGTGTCCGCTGAAATTCTACTGCCAGGCAACTCAGGAAATCAGGCGAAGACTATGACATCATTCACACTTTTTACTTACCATTACCCCACAGTGTGTCCTGGGTGTTTGACCTGACTTGGTCGCACCGTCGGTTGGTTTCGACCAATCAAAAAGTCATGAGCGGGCATTTTCCCGTATTCAGAGTGGAGTATGAATCTCCGAAGCCGTATGCACTTCGAGTGCATTTCAAGCGTCATATGACGAAGTCAAGATTTTACACTGTAAAATCCAATCGAAGCAGCCATAAGGCGAAGAAGCCATAAGGCAGAAGTTTCGTCCAGTTCGGACAAAGCAGACATAAGTCGAAGTTCCCAGCACCGCGGGTGCAATACAAGTGCTTTTTGGTCTGGTCGGAGTCTCAATAGCATTTTTACCTCACTCGTCATCGTCATCAGGTTCTTTTTAGGCCATGTATTCATTCTCTTAGGCAGGCTCCTTAGGTTTGTTTTACCAGGTATAGAACATGGTTCAACGTTTTGTTTCTCACATCACTCGTCATCGTCATCAGGTTCTTTTGAGGCCATGTATTCATTCTCTTAGGCAGGCTCCTTAGGTCAGATTTACTAGGTATAGAACATGGTTCAACGTTTTATTTCTCACCTCACTCATCGTCGTCATCAGGTTCTGTTTAGGCCATGTATTCACTCTCTTAGGCAGGCTTCTTAGGTTACTATATAGCAAATGGTTTAGTTTTGATGAATCAATCATGTTTTGATACAGCAGGGAATTTTGTTATGCAGATTGAGCCGAACCTTGTCGGAACCTTTTCGGTCAAGAGCTCAGCAACAACTCAAGCTCATTCTGCAGTTCCGGAACTCAGAATTTCCACTTGCCAATGTACCTGTGCGATTATTTGTTCTTGACGATGAGATGGAATTACAAATGAGGTCTTGGCTGAAAGGCTTTATCGTACAGTCTTGTGCATCGTTTTCATTTTGAACTCAAACGTACAGCATTTGCATACGCATTTCCTTTACTGTTAGGATTTACGACTTATAGAACACGGTTTAACTTTTTGCTTCTCACATCACTCGTCATCGTCATCAGATTCTTTTAGGCCAGGTATTCATTCTCTTAGGCAGGCTCTTTAGGTCAGTTTTCTTAGGTAAAAACTACAGTAGGCGGCTTGCGGTTTTGCCCCATTTCGGGGCTAATGTGTGTGTGTACACCGTTATAACAAACGGTTTTAGTTCTTTTCATTGCTCTTGTACTATTCTAAAAAGCAGGGGGCAGAGGTACCCATGTCACTTCCTCTGCCAACGAAGCTGGGTGACATGTGGTAAGGATATAGATCAGGGACGCCTGATCTACGTACCTGCTATAGTTTCAACTGTTGACTTTCTGTTCTTGTTTATGAGCTGTGCGTTGTTTCTTCGATCGCGAATCTGGGTCCGCTGAAATTCTACTGCCAGGCAACTCAGGAAATCAGGCGAAGACTATGGCATCATTCACACTTTTTACTTACCATTACCCCACAGTGTGTGTGTGTAACATCTAAATAGATGTAAAACTTCTCTCTTTTTCTTCCTTCTGTCCTCTCCCTTTTTAAATCTAGCGCAAGGGTTTTTAATCTAGTGCAGGGGGATGAGGGTCCCTTGGTGTGCCTCATCTAACAAAGACCGCACCAAGTGGACGTGATATCAGTGCGCCGCCAGCACTGACGTACCTGCACATGTATATTTTTTTACGCTGTTGGTTTATATGTCAATGACTCCTGTGATTTTTACTGACGTGCTCCTTATACTCTTACTGTTGTTGGTTTATATGTCAATGACTCCTGTGATTTATATGGGCGTGGCAAGGGGCTAAGCCAAGAACCCCAATAGACAAACAATCTAATAAATTTGTTTCTCGTCTAATTTGCATGTTACAGGATTCAGTTCCTGCCGGATCATATAATGATCCATTCTTGTCTAGTGTGATTCCTATGGTGACTCCGACATGGTGCCATAGGGCCAATTGAGGCAACCCCAGTTGGGGTCAATGTCGACTGAATTGACTTCCGAATTTACACTTGAATTAGTAATTCGTCTAAGTAAAGTGCAACAGTTGGCCTTACGGTTATGCACCTTTTTCACAATGTCCCGCTGTTCCGGATGTCCCAGGGTTCCTCGCCAAATTGCCTTTCTATCAGAGTGAAGGCGTTCGGAACCTTCAGAAACTTCGTTTTCTCTGCAGCTTCAGCCTTTGAGGTGAAACATGACATATACGACTGAAGGCAACAGGCATGTCCTTTTCCTGCAGGTGTGGTCTCTTTGGTTTCTGGTGAGGTCAAACATATTGTGCATCTAATCCGTTGGAACTTGAAAGCCGTTTATGCCCTTGTGGCTGACCTGAACACGGGCCTGGATTGGCATAACGCACGAACTTTAGGTTTAGGAACTGAATCCTGTTGTTTTACTAATTGTTTTGGTTTTCCTGTCTGTCATCAACTAGTCCCCCATTTGGTCCCTAATTTCCCTGCGTGCCTCTCCGTAATGTGTCGTGGGGTTTAGGTGTGTGCGCTGTTTTGGTTAGGTCCGTTTCGCCGTGTAGGTTGGTTCCGGAGGTCCGTCTGTTCCCCTCCCCCCCTGCGCTGTTTTTGGCCGTTTGCCCTTCGTGTGTCCGCTTTTTTCTTCCTCTTGCCTTTCAGGGTTGACCCGGCTCTGGCCGGGTGTGTGTGTGTGTAACATCTAAATAGATGTAAAACTTCTCTCTTTTTCTTCCTTCTGTCCTCTCCCTTTTTAAATCTAGTGCAAGGGTTTTTAATCTAGTGCAGGGGGATGAGGGTCCCTTGGTGTGCCTCATCTAACAAAGACCGCACCAAGTGGACGTGATATCAGTGCCCGGCCAGCACTGACGTACCTGCACGTGTATATATATATATATATTTTTTTAACGCTGTTGGTTTATATGTCAATGACTCCTGTGATTTTTACTGACGTGCTCCGTATACTCTTACTGCTGTTGGTTTATATGTCAATGACTCCTGTGATTTATATGGACGTGGCAAGGGGCTAAGCCAAGAACCCCAATAAACAAACAATCTAATAAATTTGTTTCTCGTCTAATTTGCATGTTACAGGATTCAGTTCCTGCCGGATCATATAATGATCCATTCTTGTCTAGTGTGTGTGTGAGTTGCGGGAGTACGGGAGACGGACGCGGCCGGGAGCAGACAACCAAAAACAAGAACCCCACAAAAAGATGTGGGGAACAACAACCCCTCACAAAGATTGAAGTAAAGGAGGCGAAAAGAGTTTCTACTTTGGCTAGATGCAGCTTTGTTGTGAGGCCGAAGGCTCCTTGAAATGGACCCTGAGTGATTGCATGTGACCGATGTCAACCCGATGTCAACACCATTCAACACCATTCAACACATGAATCTCAGGAGCGGGTGGTCGAGCTTTCAGGCAGCCGAAACGACTAGCAGTAGGGCACATTGGCAACGCTTCAGGGCGCTTTAGGACGCTTTGGGACCCTTTAGGGTTCTTTAGCATCTAGCAGGAGCTTTCAAAAGAGACATACCTTTGCGACTGCAGAGACTCCTGAGACAGTCAAGCCTCCAGCTTTTCACGCAGGTCAGCTGGAGCATGCACAGCAAGCCTACAGCAGCTTGTCCTTTTCTGCAAGGAACTGGACACTTTTTGATGATTCTGTGATGATCGGATGAGAAAAAGCACCTGGATTTCCACTTGGTTGTAAGGTTTTGTGCACATGGCAGAACAGTAGGATCTCGCCGCCATGCTTCCCTTTGTCTCTCCCATTCAAAAGTTGTTCATGCTTTCACAAGGCGAAGCTGCACGGGAGGCACTCACAACTCATGATGCTGACTGGTGGGATTCACGCGTGGGGTTGACGAAAAATCCTTTGGGAATGTCAATGCAGGTTGTTTCTCTATGTGTGGTTAGCTGTGTGAGCAGCATAAAAAGAGATTTGAGAAGAATTCGGTTGTTTAACTGAAAATTCAGGTGGGCCAGATGTCTTTGCGTTTGAATGAGCAGCTCGGCAGCAAATTCGAGTCCAATCAATCTGGCTCAGGGTTCCTTCCCCTGGCCATGATGAGAAGCAAGTCAAAAGCATGATCAATCGTTTTCCATTCCTGCCTCCAAGATTCCCATAATGTATACAAGAGGCTTGATGCAGCGAACTTGTGGGAGTAGGTGCAAGTGCACGGCACCTCGCTTGCAGCAAGCACGAACTCAGCACCGTCAGGTTGGAATTTGGTCAGAAGGCTGATAGCCACTCAGAGGCGTGGAAGCAGCTGCGCAAACCTGTGGGTAGCGAAGGATTTGCTGTTGATACTGCTTTGCGGGGTCTCAATCTTGAGCAATGTTAGGTCAAGTGAGTCTTGCTGCCGTGCGCCTTTTGCCCTGACTTGCTTCCAGTGGACTCGCAGCGACGAGGACCTTCTTCGTGAAGAGCTGGCTGCTACCCGTGAACGTTTCAGCACGTCTGGCCCAGAGAAAGCCGAGATTACGTGCGGACCACGCCTGCTCGCTTTTGGCTTCGCTTTCAAGTTTTTTGATTTCTCGGTGCCACTTGTTCAATGACACCTGCACTGCAAGGTTGGAAGAGCGACACAAAGAGTGGAGGGCTTGGACATTGTAATTATTCGTATACATGTACGCCTATTCAAATATACGTTGAGGCACTGATGGTGCACATGTACATGCCATGCACACAACGCATGCGGAGCGGGTTGTGGGGTGGGGCAGGGCAGTCTGGTGTGGTGGGGTGCGGCGTGAGAGTTCTGAGTGCATAAAATGAACATGCACTGCACAAACACCAGCAGTGGATGCTAGGCTGCTGCATGGTCAAACGCACTTGGCCCCGCGAGGTTTACTTTGCTTTTCTTTGAAGCTGACTACAGTAGGACATCTATCCGGTCTACGGCTGCTGTAGTTTTTCTATGGGTGACTGAACATAGACTGCAAGCATCTATAAGCTTCGTCCTGCAATGTCCAGAACAGCATGTCTGGTAATCCGGTTCTTCGTTTGGTCTGCCTTGCGGCGAACATGCGATGTTTGAAAGGGGCCGTAGGAGGTGCAGGGAACCTCACACATCCAAACACACCTGCCCACACAGACACAGACACACAAAAAAACTGGTGATAAGGTTGAAAGAGAAAGGTAATAATGATGTGCTTCAAGTCGCCTTGTAAGGACCTAAGACTAAGAAATCGAGACCTAAGAAATCGAGGCCTGAAGTAGTGAATTCAAAATCGCATATGTGTGTCGCATGACACCTTCAGCTTACGAATTGAAAAACTACAAAAAATGGATTTGAGATAGCAGGTAGGTGACAAAGGCGTTCTTTTGTTATTATTTCATCATGGATAGGCAGTGTCTTCGTTCGTGGATGACTGCCAGGCCATGCATCCACCCCCTGCTATTTGTACATAGGGAAAACCGCATGCTATAGCGGATCACAACATAGACACCCACAGATAGATACACACACGCACACACACACACATATATATATACATATATATACACATATATATATACACATACATACATACATACATACATATATATATATATACATACATACATACTCACACACACACGCACTTGCTCAGAACAGCTTCTCGACTTGTGAAGGTGGAATGCATCTTACGTGCACAAAAAAGCTCAGTAAACTTGCCAGGAACCAGTGCAAGCAGGATTGGGAGTTCCATGGTTGATGAACCCATTGTGTGTAGACATATTGTAAAACCACCTTCACGCTGACGGAGTATTGGAAACTGACCTTTCCTTTTCAAGTATCAAACTGCCACAGCCGTGCATCCAAAACCGAGATGGCGTTTCTTGGTTTAGCCCCTTGCCACAATGACAGAAAATCAATGCAGGTACGACATGGTACAACGATGCTGGCTCACCATGTGCCAGCCGAATGCCCTGATAGACGCCAGACTTTAGCCTCTGCCTCTTTTCTTCAA